ATAACATTCTTCTTTAACAGTTTCAATTAAACTAGAATTTATGCATTTTATTTACTAAACAGCTACAATTTGCACTAATTTTACTTTTTATTAAAATAAAAAAAATCGACACCAAAACAAATAATTTCCATGAACTTGTTCGCTAAATATTTCTGAATTCAGAAAATTATAGAGAAAATCACAACAAAACAAATCAAGCGGAAATTTTCAAAAAACAGCACACTTAAATGAACAAATAGCAGTTTCTTTGTTTTACCTCTTCTTTTTCTAAAATGTAACCTGTTGCGGAAAAATTTTTATTAGCTAGAGGTTAAGAATATTTCCCAAGAAAATGCACTAAAAAGATGAATCTAGCCAATACTTAGTTTGAAAAAATAAGCTAAATAATGTAAAAAGTTTGTTTGAATTTCTTACTCAAACATGTGTGTGAAACTCACACTTTGAGTGAAGGTTAAGTTGAAACGCTCATTGAAATATCACAAAAGTTTTCCATAGATTTTGTTTACATAAAAATCTCTAGTTTGACAGTTGAATTTTGAGTGCGATCATGTGTGAGTTATTTGTTCAAGAGATTTGAAAATAAAGAGAAAATTGACTAATAAGAACGATGTGTAATAATAAAATCAAATATCTGTAAATATTAAAAATTTTACACTACAGTGCCTCCAGAGAAAGAAAAAAATTATTTTAAATTCAGAAAAATTTTTCACCAAAGTCTTTTTTAAAATTACAAAGATCTTTAGTGAAGTCTGTGGACTGGCCTATAGTCACAAATTAAAACTAATCTATAGCCAAGCCTATAAATTGATTAATCAATAGTATATTCTGATTTATATAAGAGTAAAAATTGATGAATATCAAAACTATGGAGGGATTTACAAACAAAATTATTAACTGATCAATAGTCAAGACCATAAAATGATCTATAGTTAAGACTACAGACTGATCATTAGTCAAAACTATAGATTGATCTATAGTCAAGGCTATAGACTGTCAATACTCAAGACTATAGACAGATCTATAGATCAATAATCAAGACTATAGACAGATATATAGTCAAGACTTTATACTGTTCTAAAGTCAATACTATAGACTGGTCTCTGGTAAGAAACATACATTGATCTACAGTCAAGACTACAGGCAGATCTATAGTCGATTCTTTAAACTGATCTATAGTCAATACAATAGACTTACATATTCTCAAGGCTATATACTGTTCTATAATCAGGACTATAGACTGACCTATAGTCAATACTATAGACAGACTTATAGTCAAGACTATAGACTAACCTATAGTTGAGACTTTGGAATAACCTACAGTCAAGACTTTAGACTGATTTATAGTCAAGAATCTATAGTCAGATAGATCCATGGTCCAGACTTTAGACTGATCTATAGCCAAGACTATAGATTGCTCTATAGTGAAGACTATTAACTGATGCATAGTAGTATATAGTCAATATAGTCAGACTCATAAACAGTTAAGACTATAGACTCATGATGTATAGTCAGGACTGTAAGTTGATTAATAGTCTGGATTATAGTCAGATCTGTAGTCAGGACTATATATAAATCTATTGTCAGGACTATAGACTCATCTTTAGACAAGACGATAGATATTCACGATCATAGACTGATCTGTATTCAAGACTATAGGCAAATCTTCAATCACTGGTATAACCATCCATAGTCATAGGCTGATCTACAGACTATACTATAGACTAATCTGTATAAAAGGCTATATAGAGTGATCTATAGCAAAAACAATAGAATGATCTAAAGTCAAGACTATAAAATGATCTATAGTCAAGGCTATAGACTGACTTATAGTCAAGACTATAGACTAACCTATAGTCAAGACTATAGACAGATCTATATTCAAGACTTTAAACCGATCTATAGTCAAAACTATAGACTGACCTATACTCCAGGCAATAGACTAACCTATAGTCAAGACTATAGATCGATATATAGTGCATATAACTATAGACCTATAGTCAAGAATATAGAGTGATCTGTAGTCAAGACTATAGACTAACCTATAGTCAAGATTATAGACAGATCTATAGTAAAGACTATAGACTGACCTATAATCAAGACTATAGACTGCCCTATAGTCAATACTATAGACTGACTTATAGTCAAGACTATAGACTAACCTATAGTCAAGAATATATATACTGACCAATACTCAAGACAATAGACTAATCTATAGTCATGACTATAGACCGATCTATAGTGTATATGACTATAGACTTGTCTATAGTCAAAACTATAGACTTGTCTATAGTCAAGACTATAGACTTGTCTATAGTCAAGACTATAGACTGATCTATAGTCAAGACTATAGACTGATCTCTAATCATGACTATAGATTGATCTATAGTCAAGACTATAGAATGATCTATAATCATGACTATAGACTGATCTCTAGTAAAAACTATAGATCTGTCTTGTCTATAGATAAGTCTATAGACTAAACTATAGTCAGACTACTTAATGATCTATAAAAAAATTTAAGATTGATCTATAGTCAAGACTATTAACTAGTGTCCGACCGAACGTTCGGGTACGGGTTCGGAGTTCGGTAAAAAGTGAGGTTCGGTCAATGTTCGGTGTTCGGCGAAATTTTAACCGAACGCCGAACTTTTTATAAAATGTTTTTTTATCATCAAAAAGTTTTAAAAATGCTGAAAATCTGTTTACAGAAGTTATCATACATCCTGGCTGTACAATAAATTTCGGATATACATAGGTACAAAACGCATTTTTAACCGTTAGTTTTTTCGGCTGATTTGAAAAACTGTTAACCAGAAAGTGATTAAAAAGCTAAGAAAAGTGAAACATTTAATTTGAATTATCTAGTTTCGATTATAAATCTTTGATTTCATTTGTAACATTGAAATTTGCTAGGTCCTTATTCTCAAACGATCTAGACATGTCTGTCAGTCAGTCTGTCAGTCAGTCAGTCAGTCAGTCAGACAGTCAGTCTGTCAGAACGATAGAACGTTGAAAGAACGATAGGACCAAAACTATTGTTGCAGTTTGATTGGTATTCAAAATGGACAAAATCGGTTTACATTTGGACATGGCCTCCATATAATGTTCGCTTTAGAAAATTACTAACGTTCATAATAGGCTTAAAAATACTAGTATTTTTATGAAATTATACTTAAATTTTTATAGGAACCAAAATTTCATATAAATCGGCAAATTGAAATTTGCGAATTGTGTTAAGTATTGTATATATATTTTTTATTTTTTTAAAAACTAATTTTACTGATTCGATAAATTCATTTTGATTTCGATACATATTTAAAACGAAATTTTGATCACATTGGATCATAATATCATTTATAACAATATTATGATAAATACAAAAATATAATGATGAAATATTTTGACGGTATTTAATAATATGATATTTTAAAATTGTTACAATAACGATAATATGTTTAGATTACAATCATAATTTTAATCATAATATGTTGCTCTTAGAACATGGTTACCACAACCATGTTTTTCTCTGCGTGCTCTTACAGATAATTATAACATTGTCAATAAATCGTTTAAAAACCAAAAATAAAAAAGTATTATTTTTCATTTAAAAAAAGTTCGTGTTCACCGAACTTTGAAAACCGAACAAAGTTCGGGTTCGGCCGAACTTTCAAATTTACCGTAGTTCGGATTCGGTGTTCGGTACCGAACGGATTTTGAGTTCGGTCGGACTCTACTATTAACTAATGTATAGTAGAATATAGACTTATCTATAGTCTATGGTCAGACTCATATAAATACAGTTAAGACTATAGACTCATGATGTATTGTAAGGACTATAGACTGATCTATAGTCAGGACTGTATACTGATTTATTGTCTGGATTATAGTTAGATCTGTAGTCAAGACTATAGAAAAATCTATTGTCGGGACTTTAGATAAGACGATAGACTGATCGATATTCACCATCATACATATAGAGTAATCTATATTCAAGATAATAGAGTGATTTATGGTCAAGACTATAAAGTGATCTAAAGTCAAGACTATATATTAGTCAATAGCCAAGAGTGAGCTATAGTCAAGAACATAGATTAATCTATAGTCAACACTATAGACTGATCTATAGTCAAGACTATTAAATAGGCTAAAGATGAGGCATTGTCAAGAGTATTACAAGATTCGTAACTATATATTTACTCTAAAGACCGATAGCGAGAGTTATTTTCTCAAATAATTTTTTTTAGCCAGAAGTCAAAATTTTCGAAATAAAAAGTTATTTTCGATATTGCATCAAAATTATTTAACAAATTCCAAATATTAAAGTTTTTTATTTCAATTTTAAGACTATTTTATGAGAAATCCCATAAAACATAAATTTTTTCGAAAAGCATTTTGGAAATTAATCGTTTTTTTTTTTTTTTTTTTCTTAAAAGCAACAGAAAAATTGCGTGCCAAAAAATAGCTACTGCTGGATACAAAATGCTTATTAAAAATCCAAGAAAATAATTTGTAATGATTTAAAATTATTATGTATTATGTAAAAACTGACAACTTAAAAAAAAAAACTCTAGCAGCAATTAAAAAAATAATATTCGCATTATTGAAAGTTGCGGCTATAAAATATTTTCAAAAAAATAAGTAATAAATGAGAGTATAGTTTAAAATACATAGTTAAGGTTAATGAACAATAAAAATATTAAAAAAACAATATCAATTTATAACATTTAAAGAAAAAGATTTATTAATTTTATACAAGATCTGCAAATGATGGTAAAGCATTTGAAGATGATGTTATAAAAATTTAACTCTTAAACTCTCTTTTGCAGCACTCAAAGAGATTATAACACTCAAAGAGTTTTTAGATTATTTTAAAAAATATTTCCTAAACTTGTTTGATTTGTAGAAAAAAAGACTCAATTTCAAATTCAGCTTATGTTCGTCGACTAAGAAGAACGACCAATTTAATGACTGTTTACCAATTAGTTTAGTTTGCGGTGAGAGTTAGACTGGAAATGACGTGATTTGGAATTTAACGCTTACAATACAAGACTTTTAAAAGTTACTTAAATTAAATAAGAAATAAGAAAAAAGAAAAGAAATTTTGAAAGAAAGAAGAAAATACAAATATAAGTAAAAAAATTAAAACGCAATAATGATGTTATAGCAACAAAAACGAAGTGAAATAAATAAGAAACAAAAGTTAATCCATAGCAGTTTGTTATAAATTAATTATAGGTTTCTTAATGAAACGTTGAAAAAAAGCAATAAAATCAAGAAATACCAAAAATACCTAAACGACAGAGAAAAAAGTGAAGAAACAAAGTGAAGTTATTTGAAAAAATATTTAATTATTCATCTGAAAGAAATTTCAAAAAAACCCTAAAAAGTGAAAATCAATAATATTTCAAAAATAAAACTCATTTGCATGAGTAGTTTTTACTAAAAAGAATCTGTTTCATTGACATTGATTGGATTATATTTATTTGAACAAAACAAAGTCACAGCAGAACTTTGAAATCATAGACCACACCAAGGAACAGTTATTTAATCATAATAAAAAATCAGGTAACTTTCTATATGAATTTAATTATTAAAACAATACAAACAGCTAAAAGAAAGAAATAATTTAACACCAAAATATGTGTTGATTTTTTTTTCGTATGAAAATATATTTCTTTTGTGTGGGTTTTAGTTGTTGTAACTCTGTATTGTTATTTAAATAATCGGGTCAGCTGTATTAAGTTATTTTAGTGGTTTTGACTATAGCAGAGGAAGTGAGAAGTAAAATAAAATTCTTTTAATTCTTTCTTTTTTCAATAAAAAAATAGCTAAATTGTTTTATTTTTTTATTTTTTTATGTTTTACTTTCATTGATTTGTTTGTTGTTTTTACAGAAGTTTGTGTCTTAAGTCTTTTGTTTTGTAAAGGGCTTAAGGTTGAAGAGTGAAATTTTTTTGCCATAAATTTATAGGATTTAATAAATGAGTTCTTTTAATTTACATATTTTGCAAATAAATTACAGTTTTAAAATTTATGTTTATAAGAGTTTGTGTCTTAAGTCTTTTGTTTTTGTTTTATATGGAATACTTTGCACTGCTCTTATTTAATTAACTAACCCTCTATCGCCTAAATTTGTATAAATGATATGGAGAAAATGGTTTAAAGCTTGCACTTAAAATAATATTTGTGCAAATAACTTCTATCTGTAGATAGCAACATATAAGTTCCTCGCCAAAATAACTACTTATGTTTTGTGATCAACGAACCAGACAATTTCGTATAGTCTATTCTAAAATGAGGCATATCCCAGACAAAGCTTTATGTATTGATAGCAACCAAAAGATATAGCAGCAAAGACTGGACTAAATGAGCCAAAACTAAAGAATTAAATCTTTTTTAATAGTAACTTGTGGTCAAGTGTTGTCATATTGGACCAGTGATGCCAAGTGTAGGGATTTTTCCCTTTTTGTAGGGATTTTTTTCAAAAATTTCACGTGTAGGGAAAAAGGGAAAGATTTCTTACTATTGTCAAATTGTAGGGATTTTTCAATTTCATAGTTTTTAACAACTAAAAATACACTCTTTCATGTATTAAACTTTTAAATTAAAAATGAAATCAGTTTTAAGTGTATCGTTAGTAAAAATTCCGCTTGTAATTTCTACAATATATGTACCTACATATCGCTACAAGACTGGAATAATCCAAAATTCGGCTTTCTTGAACTAAGGTCTTCAAAACATGCGACATACTAAAATCTTTCATATAGATTTATGAAATTTCAAATATGTCTATTATTTTCGATGTGAAATCGATTTTTTGTAAACGTAAAAACTAAAACCCACGTTTTTGTGAATATTAGACAACTAAAAATTTAATTTCAATTTAGATGAGAAACATATTAACCTCAACTATCTGAATCTGGATTTTTAAAACCCCTTGAATTGTTTAAAAGTTATTAAAAAATAGTTAAATGTCATTAAATATTCATATCCATTTTTCTTGAAACGACTTTTTGGATTATGCCAATCATGTAGGGCGATATATTCTGACTCCTTATAGATAGAGTAGTCGGGGGCTTAATGCAGTAACTCAGGATTGAAAAAATGAATTTAATGTTCTGAAAATTTATAAAAGTAAACCGCAAAAAGTAAACGCAAAAGTAAACCTTATTTAAAATAATTATTTTATGAAAATTTTTTTGTTGGAGGCACATAAAATAAATTTTTATCACGATTCGATATACTGCCATAAATCTTTCAATTGTTTTTTTTTTAATCTTAACTGAAGAGTCAGGGTTGGAAGATTTGTATGATGTAAAATTGAAAGAAAAAAAAATTAAAATTAAAATTCTAGAAATTTCATTCCTAAAAATTAAAAAAAAATACATACATATATGTATATTATAAAACGGAGCTAATATTTTAGTTTTTGATGTTATTTTTGTATTTTTTTAAGATAAACTTTGAAAAAATGGAAAAAAGTAGTGTAGGGAAAAATGTAGGGAAAATAAAAAGTGGGTGTAGGGAAAAAAGGGATTTTTTCTCATAAACGTAGGGATTTCTGAAAAAAATCTCCTGGCATCACTGTATTGGACACTTATTCTGGGTATTTTTTGGACAACTCTTACTTTAAATGTTTCAGTTGCCTACGCTACTGGTTCCCTATGATGATTTGGCTAGCTACCTAGCTTCCTCAACAACTAACTTTACAATGACTACTAAATACCGTCTGTATTACTTAGAAGGAGTCTATTAATGACTTATAAATAATATATTATGTCTTAACAGATTGCTCTAGAAATGTGTTTTTAACACAAACGAAAATAAAGTATTTTTTTTGTAAAAACTATTAGTAGACGTGTTCTCGTAGACAACTTTTTTCTCAGAGAAAAACTACTTACTTAACTCATTATTTGTAAGCGAGAGAGGTATGCAAGTACTTGCCTTCAATGTCATCCCCGTGTTAGAATAATGCAAGTAAATTTTACAATTTTTCAATGTAAGTTTTTGCTGGGTGACAATTTGGATGAATTCCGGTGGCAGCAAACGTTTTAAAATCCCCTCCTGAATTTGATTGTTTGGCAACTTAGTTAGTTCGTTAGTTAGTTAGTTAGTTAGTTAGTTAGTTAGTAGTTAGTTAGTTAGTTAGTTAGTTAGTTAGTTAGTTAGTTAGTTAGTAGTTAGTTAGTTAGTTAGTTAGTAGTTAGTTAGTTAGTTAGTTAGTTAGTTAGTTAGTTAGTTAGTTAGTTAGTTAGTTAGTTAGTTAGTTAGTTAGTTAGTTAGTTAGTTAGTTAGTTAGTTAGTTAGTTAGTTAGTTAGTTAGTTAGTTAGTTAGTTAGTTAGTTAGTTAGTTAGTTAGTTAGTTAGTTAGTTAGTTAGTTAGTTAGTTAGTTAGTTAGTTAGTTAGTTAGTTAGTTAGTTAGTTAGTTAGTTAGTTAGTTAGTTAGTTAGTTAGTTAGTTAGTTAGTTAGTTAGTTAGTTAGTTAGTTAGTTAGTTAGTTAGTAGTTAGTTAGTTAGTTAGTTAGTTAGTTAGTTAGTTAGTTAGTTAGTTAGTTAGTTAGTTAGTTAGTTAGTTAGTTAGTTAGTTAGTTAGTTAGTTAGTTAGTTAGTTAGTTAGTTAGTTAGTTAGTTAGTTAGTTAGTTAGTTAGTTAGTTAGTTAGTTAGTTAGTTAGTTAGTTAGTTAGTTAGTTAGTTAGTTAGTTAGTTAGTTAGTTAGTTAGTTAGGTAGTTAGTTAGTTAGTTAGTTAGTTAGTTAGTTAGGTAGTTAGTTAGTTAGTTAGTTAGTTAGTTAGTTAGTTAGTTAGTAGTTAGTTAGTTAGTTAGTTAGTTAGTTAGTTAGTTAGTTAGTTAGTTAGTTAGTTAGTTAGTTAGTTAGTTAGTTAGTTAGTTAGTTAGTTAGTTAGTTAGTTAGTTAGTTAGTTAGTTAGTTAGTTAGTTAGTAGTTAGTTAGTTAGTTAGTTAGTTAGTAGTTAGTTAGTTAGTTAGTTAGTTAGTTAGTTAGTTAGTAGTTAGTTAGTTAGTTAGTTAGTTAGTTAGTTAGTTAGTTAGTTAGTTAGTTAGTTAGTTAGTTAGTTAGTTAGTTAGTTAGTTAGTTAGTAGTTAGTTAGTTAGTTAGTTAGTTAGTTAGTTAGTTAGTTAGTTAGTTAGTTAGTTAGTTAGTTAGTTAGTTAGTTAGTTAGTTAGTTAGTTAGTTAGTAGTTAGTTAGTTAGTTAGTTAGTTAGTTAGTTAGTTAGTTAGTTAGTTAGTTAGTTAGTTAGTTAGTTAGTTAGTTAGTTAGTTAGTAGTTAGTAGTTAGTTAGTAGTTAGTTAGTTAGTTAGTTAGTAGTTAGTTAGTTAGTTAGTTAGTTAGTTAGTTAGTTAGTTAGTTAGTTAGTTAGTTAGTTAGTTAGTTAGTTAGTTAGTTAGTTAGTTAGTTAGTTAGTTATACATACATTTAATATCTTAATTAAGATTTTACTTTCATTACTTCAGATTTCGAATTTTAGAAACGCCTAAATACTATTCGTAGGAACTTAAAGTTTTTTACATGTTTTACAGATATTTTTGTTATAAATGTTGAGAGATGGGTCATCTCTTATTTCACTTTCATTAAAATCAGGTTTGTTTCTTGAAGTCTTTTGTTACTCATATCAATAAGTTTTTGCCGAAAGAAATATTTATGTTCGATACTTTTAAAAATTATTTAAATATTTACATTATTTTAATATTTATGTAAATTTAACTTTCATTGATTTAAAAAAAAATAAGTCAATGCCCTTTAAAGCATAATTTATTAATGGAAAATTTAAAGAAAATTAAAATTTTAAACAAACGTTGTTCTGAAGGGAAACATTTTGTGTAACAATAACTGGTAATAATAATCTTAACAAAGATTATTCAAGAATACATGATTTTAGACTTAAGCGATTATTACTTTTGATACTATATTATACTGTATTTTTCTCATTTGTGTTTATTTTTAATCAGTAGCTTATTTCTTATTAATTCATTTTTTAAAAAAGGAAATGTTCTTGAATTATTTTCAATATCAAGTTCGCTGTTTAAGTCTTTTGTTTTGTTTGTTATAACCTAAGATTTTCGTAATATTTTTTACTTTAATCTTAATTCTTTTTATAAAATTTAATAATTTTGTTGAAGTTATCAAAAATTTAAAGAAAATTTTTTTACTTCCGCTTCATCATCAGCCACAAAGGCAATATTTTTTTTATTGATACTAAATCATGCTTTGAAAACACACTTATTTCTAAAGACATTATCTTAAACAGTTTTAAAAGAATAAACTGGTTATTGTCACACCATAGACATACAGCAGAAGATTTCAAATCTAAATTGCAGAATGATCTTGTTTTTGTTCACCCATTTGTAAGCTCCTGTTTTGGCTTGAAAGTCAAGAATACATGTTGGTAAATCTGAACAACTTTTTCTTCTTACAAACTCGAAAGCTGAAAATAATGCTTAATGTCCTCAATTTTCTAGTTTGTTGTTAATAAGAAGTCGCTAGCGTTTAAATTTATAAAGATAGACAGTTAAATCAACTAATCGGGTAGATCTGAACATTTTAG